TAAACCCCTGAACTTTTTGGGAGTATCCCACAAAAACCCCTCAAACCTTCCAAATTTCTCAATAGACCCCATAACAGAGTTAATGGATCTAGTTAAAAGGAAAAAAAAATACCCATTTTAAGCAGACTCGTGGACTCTGTTTCTTGGTAAAATCTGATAGTTTAGCGGGGGTTTGTGAACGTACATCATGCGTCTTTTGTGGATTTTATAAAGTTCAGGGGTCTATGTGAAATATACCAATAAATTTTGCATTTTCCTTTATACCTTCCCCTAAGCTGATAGAAGTCTCCCTTGTATCTGCAGCTTGCAGCAGTTGCCGCTCTTTGCGTGCAATATGAATCTGAGTTCAGGCCCAATATGAGTATTGTGGTCAAGGCACTCTCCCCTCTCCTTGGAAATAAGCAAGCGGCTGCACCTGCTCCACCCGTGGCAGTTACCAGTGCCAATTAGTTTCCTTTCGTCCTTCTCTGCCTGTGCATGCGAGAGAAAATTACCTTGGGAGTTCCTCCATAGAAAAATCATACAGGGAGATACTTCCAGTACAGATTTTAAAGTTGGTGCTTAATAATCATCCAACTCCTAAGTTTTTTGCTGCAACACATGGTGCTTCAGGATTTTCTAAGTGGAGATCCCCTTCATATCTTTTGATTTTCAATTAAGGACAAGGATTTTTTCCCCCCTTCTTGCAAATGGCCTCAATGCGCTGGCATGAAAAAAAAATAATCATTGACTTTCGCCTATTTGTTATATATTGCATAATGAGTTGGCATGGCCAACTCATTATGCAATAGGGAGGGGACACCTCACATGTCCCCTCTCTTGGTCCCATATTTTTTGTCCTTAAATCATTTTCCTTTCTTTTATAGTACTCATTTGGCTCTCACATGTGGTGATAACGAGTGATAGGGTTGCCTATTCGCCTTAGCACAGGAAATAGTCATTAACTTATCCTTCAGGCTCTATATTTCTACATTGTATATTTTGTGGCACTCTTTAGCCTGTCAGACGTGGTGGGTAGTGTGTGATGAGTGTTGATAGGATTTTTTTTTAATGATGAGCACCTACGTAAACAAAAATGTTGATTTGGCCGAGCATTTTGTTTCCACGGTGTTGTGGGTGATGCTTTTTGAGCCTTATTTCCTAGTTTCTGTACTTTGTTATCTTAGTACTTGCAACTCTTTGGACAGGAAAATGATTGAAGTGTTGTGGTTCACATGCGACTCATTTCATTTTGTTTTCTCCAACTATTCAGAGGTTCTTTATGCATGGTACCTTTTTTGTGCCTGCAGTATTTGTAGAGCAAAATCTTTAATGCTCTGTTTGGTTTGATAGAAAGGGAGAGAAAGGAAAGTAAAATAGAAGAGGAAGTGAGTTTCCACTGATTGGTTTGAAAGAAAAAAATAATAATTTTCACTACAGAAAAACCAATCTATGTTTATTTTTTCTTTTCCCCTTTCTCCTCATTGCCCAGGTGAAAACGAGGGAGAGACGGAATCACGTCGCCGACTTTCCCCGATCTCTCACCTCTCTCTCTCCCTAAAACCCCCCCCCCCCCCTCCCTCCTCCCCCATTCTCTCCTCTCCAAAACCCTAGATTAATTTTGCCTAAGCCCTAGTTCGATGCCGACCAAAGCTTTGACGCCGATCAAATTCTAGTTTGATGCCGATCGAATCCTAATTCAACTTCTCGGATTGCGCCGATCTTGCGTAAGTTGTTGAATTCAATTATAGTTTTCATCGATCTAAAAAAAAAAAAAAAATTTTGTAGCAGAAAACTGACATGTCATTTGAGATTTTGATGTTTATCAGTGCAAATGGCTCTATATTGTGCATGCTACTCTCTCCGAGCACATTCAGTTTTTATTTTTATTTTATTTTTTAAAATTGTAGCATATGGACTTATCTGCAGTGACCATGGATGAACAAAGATTAGGCTCCTCTACATTACATTGATTATCCTGCAAGAAGATAGCTATTGTTGCAGATGCTATTTTCTTTATAATTGTATGTTGTGTTTATAGCTGTAACTGTCAAAACTAAACCCACTTATTGCAAAACGATTCGCAAATCAGTTTGAGTACAATTAGATTTTACAAGAAGTGGCGTCGAATGTTCCCAAAGAAGAAAGTGCGCACGCTTGATTTGTCAAATGCAGAGGCAAACCCTGTAAATATTCAAGTTTCAATTTGCCTAGGTCTTTTAGCAGCATGCTATTAGGGGTGGAAATGAACCAAATAATTAACAAATAGTTCAATAATTATTCGAATAATTATTCAGTCATATTCGATCCGGTAGTTCATTTACCACTAAACAAATATTTTTTAGTATTTGAGTTTACTAACGAATAGAATTTAACCGGATATATATTCGATTCGTTTGTCTATTAAATATTCATTTAAAATTTTATCACACCTTATTATTTGTATTATTGTCCATATGATGTCATATTTTTAACTCACTTATCATTTCTACTTAAAGTTTTATATACTGATTTTAAGACTTAAAAAATCTTAAATATGTTTTCTAATTAAAATTTTGATTTAAATATATACATCACATATTATAAAGAAATAAAATTTTTTATGAATTTTTATTATTTGAAAATCAAAATTTTTAGCAGAATAAATATACTTTGATATTCGATAAGTATTCGTAAATATTCATGAATATTTATCAAATACCAAGTATTCGAATTCGAAAAACTAGATATATGAATATTAGAGTCCGCATTCGAATTCGATAATTTTAAGCAAATACGAACACTTTAGTATTCGCTTCGATTCGATCGTTTACCACCCCTACATGCTATCAAATTATATGAACTGTGGATGATAAAGACAACTTCGTCCCTCCAAGGCCGGCTGAAGGCATAGGCCACTAAGGCATATGCCTAGGGCCTCCATTTTATTGGGGCCCCCAAAAATTTTATATATATATCGATTAAATATATATATATATATATATATATAGTTATATATATATATATATATATATATATATATATATATATATATATATATATGCGTTAAAGTGAATCTAAGGTGACTCCCTAGTAGCCTAAGGATGCGCAATCTCAGCCATTGATCTCAAAAAACCCACAAATCATCTCAACCATTGATTTAAAACAATTCCCCAAAAGAAAAAAAACAAATTACCAAAAAAATACCCTATTGATGACCGCGTTTAGCAAATTCCCAAAAAAAAACCTCGATCGGCATATATTTCGCTGGCAGTTTCCTCCGCGTGACTCCACCTCCGACAACCGTCCGCACGTCCCTACGACCTGTCCGACCTCCGCTCGACGTCCGACCTCCGCCTGACCTTCCCTCGACGTCCGACCTCCGCCATTGATCTCCGCCATTGATCCCCGCTCGACCTCCGCTCGACGTCGACGTCCGCTCGACGTCGACGTCCGCTCGACGTCCGACCTCCGCTCGACGTCCGCTCGACCTCCGCTCGACGTCCGCCCAAAAAAATCATCTCAGGTGCGTTTTTTTTTATTTTGTATGTTAGGTTTTTTTTTCATCAGCTTTTTTTTTAGTTTTTGGTCCCGATCGTATCAATTTTAGAGTAGATGCTTGGAATTCTAATGGGAACGTGTTGGCATTTGATAGTTTACGAGCAACATTGCTTTTTGATCCAAGTTTAGGTTATGAATTAACTTGTTTGTTGGAGGTTTTAACTTGTAAATCTGGTTCATTTTGGAATATGAATTATGAATATTATCATATTTTAGTTTAAATTTTAGGATAGGTTTAATGTTAAATTGGATATGAGCTTTAAAAATTGTTTAAATTATCGTAATGAAATTGTTTAGTGAAATTGAAAGATGAACTTGAGGACGATTTTCTATAGATTTTGAACTTCTTATATGTGATAATTTGATAGCTTGTATGGACACGCCAACAATTCTCTCACGTGATACAACAATGGTTGAAGATGAAAACAAAGTTTGCGATTTTTTTTATTTTGAGGGAAAATTTTGAACAAAAGAAATCTTATGTTTTTAACACGTAGTTATATTTGATACATCGACAGGTTTGTTTTCTCTACTTTCAGTATACGCACGATCAACGTCGCTGTTGACGCTCGCACTCGCCCTCGCCATCCCCTCGCTTGTAGCTTGCTTTGACATCTTTATCAGCCCTCATGACTTCGAACAAATTGAAAGCGTCAACGCCTTCGATTTCTTCAAAATCAAAGCCTTCCTCTTCTAAATGCAAAAATCCTCTAACGTCGTAAGTATTTTTTTTAGATATAATGTTTGTTTTAATATGCGTCGAAAGTTGAAATTGCTGCTTCCGCCTACTGATGCCCACCGTCAACAAGTCATTGCTTGATGAGATATATCCTCTTGCATGAGATAATGTGTGTGTTAATAAACTTGTAAAAATTATTATGATTATTGTCATATCGAGTATCTATTTAATTTTTAGGTATATTGTTTGTGTTAATATGCGTCTTAATTTGCCCTAAAATAAGTAATTTTTACCTATTTCTGAATTATAATTTTCTTGTAAGGCTATGATAGCACAATTAAGACTTCCGTCCAATTTGTGTTATTTTCGAGATTTAATTGATAAGCGAATAATATTGGATGAAAGGCACATAAAAGCCCTAGAGACGACGCATTTTCACAACTTCCTCAAGTTACCCACATCCTTGAGCAATGAGCAAATTGTAATTGATTGTTTGATTCAAAAATTTAATTCCGATACATGCTCATTCATGATTGGGAATAAAAATTGTGTTTGGTATAGATGATATTCACCGAATTACAGGTTTCCCAAAGGAAGGAATTTTGATAAAAATGAGTGGGACAGCGTCTAATACAATCTACACTAATTTTGTAAAGAATTATAAGACACTCAAGGAGAAGAAGAGTAGTAGGTCTAAAAGGCAAGAAGAAAGCCGATGAGAAAAAAAAGACGGTGATTTGGGGGAAGCGCGATAGAATGGCCGAGATGATTATAGATATGAATAATGAAGACCCTATAATATGTGTGAAACTTATTGTGGCTTTCATTATCGGCTTCATATTATGCCCGCGAACATGTAAGACATGTCCCTTATGGGCATTCAGATATGCGGAGCCGCTATCAACTTTGAAGAAATATAATTGGTGCCATGCGGTGTTTACTTTTCTTTGTAAAGAGATGAATAAAGCAAAGAAGTCCCTTAGTATGAGGGGATTAGGTCAGCGCTTAAATGCTGGGTACATGGGTGGTTTTTCCTCCGTTTTACTGGTGAGTTACATGAACATTATTTTGTATATATTTTCAATTTGATAATGATTATTGTTTATGCACATGCTAATGTATAGTTTCTATATTGTAGGTTTGGTTTTATAAAAAAGTAGGGGAAATAGAGTACACTTCAGATATTGAAAGGTTACCGCCGCTCTTTTGTGTGAAGAATACCGGAAAGTGGAGGAGGACTAGTATGAACAAATTATATAGAAATCCAAAGTTTCTTACTGATAATGGCGAAGTGAATACTCCTCTTATTCATAGGGCATCATCAAGAGTATTTGTACATATCTTTGCTCTCATAGTTCATTATTTTATGTCTCATTTTTTATGTTTTATGTCTGCAACTATAGTATAAGTACTAATACTTGTATTTTTTTGTCTTATAGGAATCAAGGAAAGCTGAATTAATTGCCTTAATTGCGGAGAAGACGTACGAGTTGAACGAGCTCACTACAGAATTACGAGAATTAGAAGAGCATAGTGCTAGATGCAAAAAACAAAACAAGGAGAAAGAGGATGACAGAAATGTAAAATTTGAAAATAAAAGCGAAGAGGATATGAAAGCTAATGAATATGAGAATTTGGAAGAAACTGGGGAAGCCGATATTTGCAATGACATTTTGATGAGCCCAAGAGATATGAAAATTTTAGAAGAAGCTGGGTGAGTTTATTTTTTTTTTCAATTCTCTTGTAATTTTTCTTTTTATACTTTTCGTATAATTCTTGTGTTACTCTTTATTAATTATATGCATTTCAACTCCATAGCGATGTTTCTCAAAAAGAGGACGGTGGTAATGAGAATAAAAAAGAAACCTCATCTATCAAACGGGCTGTCAGAAAGAGGATGAGGAAGGATGGACCCTCTGTTACTTCACCTTATATGCGTCTAGATCAAGCAAAGGAAGGCACAAAGAAGAAACGTGTCATCCAGATATTGGATAGTCCTGAGGGGAAAAAATTACAAAAATGATGA